CATGCCACGAAGTGAAGACGTTAGTCAGCCTTTTAATATGAAAGCCTTCAGTATTTCATTGTCGCATCCATACATCGGTCCAGTAAAGTTTTTTTCTTTTTCTTGAGTGACAAGAGTGCAACAATTGCCGAACTTTTTTTTTTCGTGGATCAGCCTCGCAAAGTGAAAGTTAAAATTGCGCATTGGCTGCGTAAGTGTTCCGCTTGTACATTATGAAGTGTTCAAATGTCGACTCTCTCATTTTCTAGAACATTTATTCGCACGATTCTCTTGACCCAACTACCAGCCTTCGCTATGCAATCAAACTTGAAGGGTCAGATAACCTTTAGCAAGACGTATTTCGATAGCCCTTCAAACGCAGAAATGGTTTATTGTATTGGTTAAAAGTATACCCTGTTCTCTCGTTAAATGCAATTTATATTTTTATTTATTCACTGACGTCAAAAAGGACTGTTGGCACACAAGGCAGCAAAAAATAAAATGATGCAAATGATTCATAGCAGGTGCATTTTTGCTGGCGTAGGTGGTTATATTGGGTTATTTACTACTCTGGAATGGCAGTGCCATTTTCTTTCTTATATTATATACCAACTTCAAACGTCCAAGCACGTAATCATTTGCTGCGCACGGAACAGTGGCACCACCTTTGATTCACGTACGATCCGTAACTCTTGAGTATCAGCATGAAAGTTATTAAAACACTATATTAGAGCAACGTGCTCACGAGATAATAAAAGAACTTTACGTGACCGGTTTTGGCAAAACTTCTTCTACCAGCTTTCTATATCCCGAAATGAAAGATGTCCAAAGAAGATGGCTAACGACATTTGCGATCAGTTCCGTCAAAGCAGAACGTTGAGCGCGATGAGGGCTATCGGCATCACCATGACTTCTCAACGTTTATTTTAGCTTTGACCGTTCTTTTACTGGCTTAACAGATAACAGGATTCTACTCACAAAATATCCACGTAATTTTGTAGTCAACCGACGCACCTTTGGCAACTACCAAGGGGAAGGTTTTTGTTGTGCTAGGAAAAGATGGGTCGATAAAAATCTGTTGTTAGTCCCTCTAACTTCACCAAGAAGAAGCTTACCTTTTTCGATTTTTCGGTGAGGTACAAGATGATGATTTGTCACTGACAAATAACGATGCCCTTGCCGATGCCCTCGCCGATGCCAACACCGGTGCCAGAATTTATGCGAAAGGAGCTATTCAACGCTATCGCTTTACATCGTTTTGATTCCTTCGTCGGATTGATGATTGGTCGCGCAATCCAGCCCTTCGACTTTAAACTATTATTTCTTCTAGAACAAACTAGAAACATCGTCCGGAGCTAAAAGCTGCTGTCGGCAGTTTCCCGGGTGCTGTTGTACATGACCGTGCGAGAACAAACGTTGTAGTACGAAAAAAATTTGACACTCGGGTGTATGGTTAAAGGATGTTGAACATTCGATGATACACGGGTGAAAGGAAGGTAAGACGCAAGGACACCTTTACTGATGGACGGAAAGACAAATGCACGGACAGAGCACTGTCTCTTTCGAAACCATATGCGCGCTATGAATGTTCTTTGTACTGTATATGTAACACTTGTGTTCAACTTCGACGGAAAGCTACAACTATGGCGTCAACGGACAAAGTACGAGCCTAAAAGCCTATGGCTCATAAAAAAAGCATGGTTAGACTGTTATGACAGTTATTTCGCGGTTTATAGCCTCGAAGTGCTTGAAACAGCATCGGAAAAAGAACTGGGAAGGCACTTGAGCATCGCCTTCAAGAGTAAAACACAATAGTGTATATCCGGGGTCATCTTGCGTCGCCTGTTCAGTTGCTAGCCAGGCTAACAGTTTAATACCTCGACCTAGTGGTGAAGACACGAACTTTTCGCTGTTTTGAACTGCCGCGGAATGCCTACTTCAAGTGAAGTTGCGAAATGCCCACTACGCCACAATTCATGTCACGAATTAGCGAAGTATACTCACAACGTGCCCGGGTGACATCACGGGCGCTTAATCAGCTGCGCACTTGGGCTGAGCTCAGATTCTCGACAGCCTCGTACGCTTACAGCTTCGAAGACAGCATTGAGCCATTGTTGTCCGAGAAATGTGACGCGTCTGGAAGACGTCTACGCGACGTGACGTGAGCTCACGTCGAGAAGAGAAAGAAAAGCTGACGCAACTGTTGCTTCTCGAACTTCATTCGTCTTCAAATCAATAAAATAAATTGAAATACATTGAGCTCTTGGAAAAGCGTCTGCTTTTGTGCAGACACCATATCGGAGAGATTCGAGCTATAGGGGTATTTTGTTGAATCGATATTTTACTGGGACAGCGAAGCAGCGCACGTCATCTTTGTCTCCGATTCCGTCCTTTGGAAGCTGGATATATTTTGTTTGCCACGCAACAACGGGATGGGGCGTAAGCGGACCGCTTCACATTAAGCTGTCTTTTTATACGGGAGTATTGGAACACACGCTTAGCTGATGCTGCTGCCCTGATCATGTAACGTAATGCCTGAGCATGTAATGATGTAGTCTTTGTGCAGCTCAGATGTTGTGACACCTAGTTCGATTTCAAGATATTGCCACGTTATTTCAGATGCGCTAACGCGACTATACTCGCACTCTACACGACACCTGCATAGAGTCGTTGTTTTAACAGCAAAGCTGTTATGCTTTGTTTTAGCACTCCGTGTGGAGTCACCTGAAAACTATCATCATTGTAATTCGTTTCCTTAATCTCCTTCATGCACCGCGATGATGGTGACGATTACGCTGCTCCACAGCTTATTGTAACTTACCTGCTCAATCTCCCGAAACACGTGCTCCTGGCCTCTGTCTTCACTGCGACGTCACTGTTGTCTTTTAAAACTTAGTCATATAATTGAAATCTACTTCGAAAGAGAATCTCATCTGAAGCAGTCCTCGTGCAATAAGTTCAGTCCAGGTGAAACAACAGAGGCACAGTATCACGCACTTATATTTTGCTCACGTACGGCTATACGCGAATCGCCTTAATATTATGCCTGAGAAATTTTTTCGAAGATACCTAGCAAACACAGCGTCAAATATCACAGAATGTTTCATTGTTCTGTTATGGAATTCTCTCAGCATGTTATCTTTACAAAGTTTTCTATATGTGAAACAGCAGCTTCGCGGCAAGGATCGAGGCCTTTAAGGAATAAGACATGTGTGTGTGTGTTGATAGGCGTGTTCTCAGTTATTCGATGTAAGTGAACCCGATAATCATATCGCGGATGAAGGAGGGCACAGACATTCGTTATAAAAGATCATATATGTTTACTATGTCATTCATTATCTCATGGTGTTATTCAAGAGAACATTGAAAGTTTGACGGCCATATATGCCTAACACTTTATCCTGCGAAAGCATTTCGATCACAAACCAAGCAAGGTGTCTTGTACAAAGCGGAGTATTTAGTATATGATGTAGAACTTCGTTTTTTTTCGGTAACTTGGGCGTTGTGTGAAGCGTATACTTTGAAACTGCGCAAACCGTGCGTAACAACTGGCTTGAATAGAGTGGGCTTCACCCAGAACTGTCCCGCGGCTTAAAAACGATTACCTGCAATAATACCTCCGCAGGTTTTGCGTGCCACAAACCACAATACAATTACGAGGGACGCCGTAGGGGAGGGCTCTGGAAATTTCGACCAGCTGGGGTTCCTCAGCGTACACATATATCTACATGTACGGGGACCTCAGCCGTTCTCGTCTGCTCGAAAATTTGGCCGGCATATGATCCCGCGACCTTCAGCTATGGGGTCGAGAGCCGTAACCCATTAGGCACTATTCACACGAGGAAAAGGAAAAAAATTCTCGAAGGAGAAGCAAGAGTTGCAGATCACGCGACAAAGACGTCACAGATTAGGGAGTATAAGCGGAACTTCCCCGTGTATACTGAGGAGACAGACCATTTCCCAGACAGGACAATCAATCACCCGTGATGGGGGAAAAAACAGCTTTTCGGGCAGGCGCGAAATATGACACTTTTGCTCAGGTCGGGGCACATGAAATACTGTTGGATCACAGCCTTCTACAAGCCTCCATAGTAGTATGGTCTCCCTCTGTGTTCGCCATGACCGTGGCAGCGAGGTACTTTTGAGAGGATATATCGCCTCCTGTTAACGTGACTAGACTCCGCCTTCACACGGGAGGATTCGTCCCCCGTGGCAATACCCCTTTAAAAACCATGGTTGGGCAGAAAAAGAACGATCGTGCTATTTTCTATACTCCATAAAGGAACACGGTGGTGCGCCGTCTCGTAGGAAGTATAGGCTACTATAAAGAATAGAATTAATCACCCATTCTCTTCGTAGTCGTATCTATTCATCTGCTCCCATCATTCGACGTATAAGACTGTGACACTAGTGGTCCATTGGTTATTGGCGCTACACTTACTCTATTTTCGCTCTTTTACTGCACGTGCTGAACTTATAACTCACATGTTAGTGTTCACGAGGCTGCTGACAGTTTACCTTTCATTACATAACAAAGAAAGACATATTAGTGTCTACGTATACAGACCAACATTCTTGCATAACGAAATATTGGAACGCTGCAAAATCAGGTGCTGAGGAAGGCGTCTATGAGCTTCAGCTACAGTTTTGGTTTATTTCCAGTCTTTAATTTAATCTGTATGAGCTATAGACCACTGATATGGGACGGTGGTTTTGAAGCAAGTGTCGTTGCCTATCTACGTAGTAAAATATTAAGTATAACGACACCAGTTATGCAATCTATAATAAGGGCGTCCGTTTATTGATAGAACTCTCCTCGCTTAACCACGCGTATACTACTGATTAGTTCATCGTGGCCACCTAAGCCACTTGTGTCGTCTCTATAAGCACACAGCAACGTATATGGAAACCTTTATCTTGAATGTCTCACCTAGGCTACCCTAAAAGAAATTCCCTGATGCATAGGATTTATTGGCAATCAATGATTTGTGGCGTTACCATTCGCGAAAGTGGTGGCCATGTTAGCGGCGCTCATTCACGCCCAACACTTTTCTCTTGGAATCGATTACGTCGACGCCAGATGCGAAGCGCTCGATCACACTGTACGCGGCTTCGGATGCGTCGGCTATTACGTGGTGTCCGGCGCGAGTCAGAACCACATACGTGAGGTCCTTGGCAGTCTTGACGTAGCCCGTAAGTTTAGAATCAGGCCCGTCCGCGTACCAGGGTCTCCTCGCAGATTTTTTCAGCTCCGCTGCCCCTGTCCAGTTGAGCGTCATCAAGTACTTCTCTTGGTTCACCGTGGCAAATACCGTGTCTATTTGGCCTGTCAAGATAAGCATTCTTGTGGCATCGAGAAGATATTCGACTTTATCACGCAAATCGGTGATGTAGTCACTGGAGAGATGAAGCATCACCAGAAGCCGGGTACTGTCTACCGTAGCGTGGGAAGATAGGTGCAGAGCCCTTTTCAGAAGCGGCTTCTTCATGTACCGGAAGTAGTGGACGTACTCCCGGGGCTTCCGGTCGTTGAACAGGCTGGCGTGATCATTGTAACCAGTGAGGTTCATAAAGAGGCTCGGCGTATGGTACAGCCGGAATATCGTGTGACTGAGAATGTTCAGCGCCGTGGTGCGGTTGTTGGCCCACAGCTGGCGGACGCGATCCATCGTCTGGTTGAACACGTCTCGGCCGTGGGTGTCGAGCATGCCGAAATGGTACAGCGTGTCGGCTGAGTCCAGTAGGTCTAGAGCGTTGCCGAACACGGCAGACGCGGCGATCACGCCAGACACCTTGAGTGGTATGCTGGGATCTGGATTCTTCATTAAGCTGTAGGACAGGGCTACTGCTCCGCGAGCTGAGAAAAGAAACAAAGTAGGGAATTCCAATTAAGTATGAAACAACGCAATGGACTGCAGGCGAAATGAAGTGTGGACGTTTGTGTGCTTTCAAAATATTACCTCAACAGTATGTTTTAGGTGTATTCCGGGAGCAATAAACTTTATGCACTTCGCGACCGTCCACAAATAGGCTAGATTATAAATAGAAATGCATTAAGTGCCCGCTCATTTGCCGCCTAAAATGTGACGTCTATTTGCATAGACATAGCATCGAAATCGGACAAGGAAGGAAAGTCATCCATTCACAACATACGTGATCATTTAAAGTTTCTCTACATGTTATCTTGTCACTTGCATGTGCCTCTAATAAAGAGCTTGTGCCCATTCAAAGTATTTTGTTTTCGTTTCTCGTAATGCCATCAGTGTCTTCGCCAGATTTTATAATACGGTGCCTATGTTTTCTATACCCCGTATCTCCCTTCAGACAACCATTTATAGATACTCTGTAAAGGACTGACGGTGTTAGCGGTAATAAATTGCACTCAGCACTTTCCTTCTGAAGTGTAAAGTTTCGACTCTTAAAATAAATAGCTCGATCGTTCCCTCACAGACTTTGAAAAATGAAACAGCACTGGAACAGGATGGATGCGAGAAGACACAAACACCGCGCTGACTAATGACCATGTTTCATTGCGTTTGCACTCCAATATATACAGGAAAACACAATCAGTAAACGTATCGAAAAACATGTTATCACTGAAACATGCCGATTCACACTTTCGACAGATATCTCATTTCACTTTTTTGAAGCAATATAGTGAAGCTACATGACAAAATGTTCTCCGCTATTCAAAAAGGCTAAAAAAAGTTTCCGTGGTCCTTGCTTTGCGTTAGTGCCTAGAATGTCACTATTTTTAAAGATTAGTTCACAATCACCTTTCTTTTTGCAATGGTCTGCAACGTGCCTACTCACAGACACTTTTAGCGAGTATGAATGTTGTCCAAGCCTTTCATTTATGCATCGGCCTGTTTGACCAATGTAACATCTTCCGCAAGTGAGGAGAATGTTATGAACAGTTTCCTCTGCAGTTAATGAAATGTTGCACGAGCTTCTTTTTCCAGCGGATTTCTGCAAGGTCATCGTTAGTCTTCTTGCAGAGACTAGGTGACTTATGAGGTGCGCTGAAAACGAACTTGACATCGAATTTTTGAAACACTTTCTTTAGATTGTGCGGCACACTTCATGAGCACGTGGGATGACCAGGATACTTTTGGTAGGGTTTTATTCTTTCTTTTGGTTTTTTGGTGGTTTTAATGTTGCCATCGTTTGCTCGGCAACATTACAAAGCAAGGTCAAAGGAAAGCCTGCAGTTCGTAACCTCTGCAGCAGATCTTTAAAACTTGCATTCACTTGGTGGTGGTAAGATCATGACAGCGCGGCCGACAAAAAAAGATTTTGTGAGGCCACGTTTTGACAACTTTTAAAGTGAAGACATGCAAGAGGCTACACATTTTTAACGAACGGGGTTCGTACCACCTTGTCTAGCGAAACTTAACTAGTGAAATGTCCACTAACAATACCTTGAAATATCTGGACATGCAAATATATTTTACCAATAAGCACGAGTCGGCGTCGCAGTATCCCAAGAAAGACTACCGTCTATAAAAACACCTAATACGAACAACTAAACACCACTGCGACCACTTCAGCCATATTTTGCCGTCGCGCGTCACACGTAGAGCTTACATTTGCAGCGAGAAATTGCCACTCTCTCTAGTCCCCTCTTTTCATACCGAGTTCCCATACTCACTCAGTTCGGCGCTTCAGTTGCATGTCGTCAAATAGCAGACTGCCCCTATTGGCTGATAGCTGACAGCTTCAGAGACAGCTTCTGTATCAGATTCACATCTTGCCCTTGGGTTTGGTCACATGCCCACACCGCGCTCTTTAGTGGGCTGAGACTACGCAGTTGAAACACTAGCGTGCACAAGAATCCTAAAGGGAGATAGTGATCCCCTATCATGACGCGCGTGCCCCTATAGCTTGTTCCCCCCGTGTCATCTTTTCTGGTGTGGCTTCCAATGAGCTGTTCGGGACGAGTGAAAAGAGGAAGGGCTTACATTGTGCTACAAATCTGTGTAACTCCACTCGTTCTCGATGGATTCGAGAAATTTGTGCAGCCATCAATTAGCGAGGCAATTAGCAATGATACAAAGGTCATTTATGATCACTTCTCAATGTGTCTTAGGACCCTTTAAATAGACCTTCGATGTGACGTGTGCTTCGCACAGTTGAATTCACTCACATCCGTAGCTCTCGCCGGCTACGTAGAGTTCGCGGTTCCTGTTCTCCGGGAACAGGAGCAGGAACTGCCTGAGGAATTCCCTCGCGCCCGTCACGCAGTCGTCGATGCTGCGAGCGTAGCCCATCTCCGACTTCGTGAAGCTGAAGCCCGACCCTGCCGGCTGGTCGAGGAAGACGACGTTGAACATCTTCTGGACGGTGTGCTGCCTCCGGTAGAGCTTTCCTTCCGAGTTGACGCCCAGGGGCCCGACCTCGAGGAACTGGCCGAACGTGCCCGACTTTCCCGGCCCTCCTTGCAGGTATACCATGAGCGGCGCACGGTCGGGATTCACCTGACCAGGGAAACAGGCAAGCAGGCATAAAAATACGCATACTTCACTGCGGGGAAAAAAGCAAAAAGAAAGTGATAGTACCAGTTTAATGACGTTGTTACAAATGCTGATATAGCAAAATATCAATTCACAGTACTTGTGGATATCTGCATGGGGCAACATCTCTCAGCGGCACTATATAACTATAGCCACTACCTATTGTGTACCACCATTCACGTCGCATGTAGTCAGCATGTAGTCAGCAAAAGCAAAAAAAAAAAAGTCACAGCTTTGCCACTAGGCGGAGCAATAAATGCGATAGCAACAAAATGTAAGGTCACGCGATGAATATGCAAGCAAATCTAAATCTGCTCCGCGTTTTCACGCGCAAATGACGCATGAAACGAACTCACAGGTACAGATGAACGCGAATAAGCGTCTCAGTTGTTACTTCGTTTTGTATGAAAAGCGCACCCTTTTCGCCAACGGAGGCTCTGCAACGATTGCAGTGGCCTCTATGCACCCCGTAACTACAACAGAATCGTTCCAGTGCAAGTCCGTCCATGCGTCCGTCTGAGTGACCATCTGTGCGTCTATCCGCCCGTCCGTGCGTCTGTTCGTGCGTCCACACGTTTATCTGTGCGTCCGTCCCTGCGTTCGTCCCTGCATCCGCCCCTGCGTCCGTCCATGCGTCCATCCTTTCGTGCAGCCATCCGTGCGTCCGTCCATGCATCTGTCTGTGTGTCCGTTCGTCCATCTATTCAACACTCCAGGTACTACCATCTCGCATCTTTTCATCATATATTCCCCATATAGAAGCACCGCCATCCAGTGGACATTCCAAAGACTAAACGAGAGGTGGCACACGCACACTTTCTTACGGCTTGCGCTTCGTATCTACTTCCCACCTTTAACCTCCTCGAGCTCATGATATATGCTAGTTCACTGTATTCAAGGCATTGCGGTCCAACGCTCGCTAAACCTTTCTAAAAGCAAGGAAGTTACGCGCAGCGAGTATAACGCAGCAACCCTTTCTTGTCAGATAGTGCTCAATGTACATGTCAACGGCTGCTAATGGGGAATTATAGACAGAAGAATTCGGCTTTTACTTTCTTACGGCTTGCCCTTAGTATCCACTTCCCACCTTTAACCACCTCGAGTTTATGGTATATACTAGTTCACTGTATTCATGGCACTGCGGCTCAACGCTCGCTAAACATTTCTAAAACCAAGCAGGTTACGCCCAGCGAGTATAGCGTAGCAACCCTTTCTTGTCAGATAGTGCTCAATGTACATGCCAATGGCTGCTAATGGGGAATGAGAGACAGGAGAATTCGGCTTTTAGTTAACGCGCACGCAGCGAATTTTTTATTGTTCAACAACGCACACGAGAAATCTCCCACCGGAACCACCTTGCAGGTTAAAACGTAAGACTGGTTACACACTACGACTACGACTGCGACTGCTACTAGGGACGAGCGTTAAGGAGCTTCGACCCTAAAATGTAACTGCATTATTTTTTAGGGCCCTTTCCATACACTGCGTGGCAGCGGCCCGCCCCCTATCTGAGATAGGTTTTTTACTCCTGAAATAAGTTATTTGTTATCGCTAATTGCATTGTAAAAGAAGCAAGTATGTACTGAGCTATATATTTATACTACGGGCTCTAGTTCAAAGAGACAGCAATTTCTTTCTTGTTCAGGTAACAGTGTAGTTCATGTGAATGTGAAATACGGGCTCTGTTGCCCAAGCCCAGGTCTTATGGGATGGGTCTTTACATCTTACGTGTTATTAGTAAAGTTCAGCTGTAGTTCGCGCTGATCCTTGCGTCTTCTTCGTCTTGTCGCCGTTTTGTGTGCGCATTTACATGAAAAACAAATTCAAACGAATTGGCCAGCCCTGGGCGTTGCTGCGCTACTCGCGGTCAGCTTTGCTGAGTAGCACGTCACAAACACATAAAGCCCGATTATTGCGTGCCGGTGGGCTGCGTTAACCTCAGCCTGCACGTAGCGGTGTTGATTTGCGTCGCTGGCAGTCAGGACAGCACTGCACAAATTTGCGTACGAAATTGTACATGCCGCGCCAGTAATAGCAATGGCGAAGGCGTTCATATGTTTTGAACACCCCGGCGTGGCCACATTGTGGATCGTCGTGAATAGAAGCCCATACCTGCGATCGCAAAGTGCGTGGAATGACCAGTAGCCACCGGCGGCCATCAGAAGAGTAGTTGCGTCGATGGAGAAGTTGATCGCGGATGGCAAAATAGAAAGCTTGACGTCGGAGGGATCGAGATACCGGAAGGTTGGGCGTACCGTATAGATATTCGAGAAGAGATGCGATCCACGGGTCACGACGTTGTTCGGTGGCAATTGAGTCAGGATTTAACGATGACAAGTACTGGAGGCACGTGTTTCCGCACGTCGGATCTGGTGGCAAAGGTGAGCGGGACAGGGCGTCAGCGTCAGAGTGTTTGCGTCCACAGCGATATACGACGCGAATGTCGTACTCCTGGATGCGGAGTGCCGATCGCGCAAGGCGGCCAGAAGGGTCTTTCAGCGTGGAGAGCCAGCAAAGCGCGTGGTGATCAGTTACTAGATCAAACGGGCGGCCGTATAAGTACGGCCGGAACTTTCCAAGCGCCCACACCAGAGCCAAACACTCCTTTTCTGTCACGCTGTAATTAGTTTCGGCTTTCGTCAGAGTGCGGCTAGCGTAGGCTACAACGTATTCTGAATAGCCGGGTTTTCGTTGGGCGAGGACAGCACCTAGCCCGACGCCGCTGGCGTCGGTGTGCACTTCGGTAGGAGCCGTCGGGTCGAAGTGGCGAAGAATAGGTGGCGAGGTGAGCAGACGGCGCAGAGTAGTGAAGGCAACGTCACATGCAGGAGACCAGGAGGAGAGGTTCACGTCACCGCGAAGAAGCTGGGTTAATGGTGACATGATGGATTCAAAATTGCGAACAAAGCGCCGGAATATGAACATAGGCCTACAAAACTGCAAAGTTCCTTCATGGTCGTCGGCTTGGGAATTCTGCGACTGCTCGAAGTTTTGCTGGGTCAGGTGATACGCCGTGCTTCGACACGATGTGGCCTAGGATGACGAGCTCGCGTGCAGCGAAGCGGCATTTTTTCAGGTTAAGCTGCAGGCCAGCGTTGGTCAGACAAGTCAAAACCTGCCTGAGGCGAAGGAGGTGCGTAGGAAAGTCGTGCGAGAAAACCACGACATCGTCGAGGTAGCAGAGGCACATATTCCACTTGAGGCCACGTAGCGTATTATTCATAAGTCGTTCAAACTTGGCGGGCGCTTACAAAGCCCAAAGGGCATGACGTTAAACTCGTATAGTCTGTCAGGTGTAATAAATGCAGTTTTTTTGGCGATCGGCTTCAGCCATTGGAACTTGCCAGTAGCCAGACCGCAAATCCAGCGACGAGAAGAATTCCGCTCCATGAAGGGTGTCAATGGCGTCATCAATGCGCGGCAAAGGATATACGTCCTTGCGGGTTATCTTATTCAAACGACGATAGTCCACGCAAAATCGGATAGATCCGTCTTTCTTACGCACCAGGACGATGGGAGACGCCCAGGGACTGTGAGATGGTCGAATGACGTCTCTACGAAGCATATCTTCGACTTGATCGTTGATGACGCGGCGCTCTTCAGTGGAGACACGGTATGGTCTTTGACGCAGTGGCTGGTGTATGCCGGTGTCAACATGATGCTTGACTTGCGACGTGCGGCCTAGTTGAGGTTGGGACACATCGAAGAAATTCCGGACTCATGCAGAAGATCAAGCAGGTCGGCATGTTCGGTGGGAGTGAGGGTGTCGGCGATGGCGCTGGAAAACGTATCCTTGGACGACTCCTCGAGGGCCGACAGTGATTTTGGGTGGTCGCAGTAGTCATCCGGGACATCCACCAAAGACGAAGGGTCGAGATCCTGCACGCGACCGAGACATTCTCCGCAAGCAAAGTGACAGGTGTGGAAAGCGGGTTGAGTATGAACATATTGCTTCTTCCGGCGGCAAGGTCAATCGTTGCGAAAGGCAGTGGCAGAGCGCGACGACTCGTGAAGATATCGGAAGGCATAAAAAAGACTGTAGCGTCAGTGTAAGCGTTGCATGAAACTGGAACAAGTGCGAAGTTTTCAGGTGGAATATCGGTCGGTGTCTTCATGCACGAACAACTTCGGCGGCTGATGAAGAGCGTCAAGTAATGGGACATCACAAAAGGGTGAAAACTCAACTTCAGCGCGTGCGCAGTCGATGACGGCATTATGGCGGGATAGGAAGTCCCATCCGAGGATGACATCATGCGAACAGACAGCGAGGACAATAAACTCCACAGTGTAAACAATGCCTTTGATGGACACTCTTGCAGTGAAGGCTGCGAGAGGCGTTACTGGCTGTGCACTTGCGGTGTGGAGTGACAGTCTCGAAAGCGGCGTCGTGACTTTACGTAATACACGGCAGACATTAGCGGCAATAACAGAAACAGCAGCGCCGGTGTCTACAAGGGCGAAAGTAGAATAACCTTCAACAGTTACTGCGACCACGTTAGCAGGAGAGGGGCGAGGACTTAGACAGTTTGAAAATGGCGCAGTTCTTGCCTCTTGAACTGCGGTGCTTAGTTTTCCTGGTCAGGAGGTCTGGGCCGGCGACGCATTGGGGAGGGCGATCGCCGACGAGGAGAGGGTGCGCGCGGCGTCACGAAGCCGGGGTCGTTAGGAGGGGCATAGCGAGGTGACGAGACCGGCGCGTATTGCGCGATGGGTTGGCTGCCGGGTTGCGACGATCAGACATAGTCGCCGAACGTCTGAGGTCGACGGCGGCAGTAGCGGGCAACGTGTCTGGGAGTAAAGCAGGCGTAGCATATCGGTCGGTTATCGGGCGTCCTCCAGGAATTGGCTATTGGTAGTGCCGCCCAAGGTGCAGTATATATATATTATATATATATATATATATATATATATATATATATATATATGTATGTGTGTGTGTGTGCGTGTGTGTGTGTTTGTGTGTGTGTGTGTGTGTGTGTGTGTGTGTGTGTGTGTTGTTTGTGTGTGTGTGTGGTGTGTGTGTGTGTGTGTGCGTGTGTGTGTGTGTTGTGTGTGTGTGTGTGTGTGTGTGTGTTGTGTGTGTTGTCGTGTTGTGTTGTGTGTGTGTGTGTGTGTGTTTGTTTGTGTGTGTGTGTGTGTGTGTGTGTGTGTTGTGTGTGTGTGTGTGTGGGTGTGTGTGTGTGTGTGTGTGATCTAAGCGAAATCATACTCGCTCCCGTAGCTTATCATTTCGCTTAGATCCTCCGAAGATGGCTGGTCCACGCCGAAACGGTTAGGATTAAATAAATAATTTATTGTTTGTTCCTATGAAGGACCTTTTCTGCTAATTAAATAAAGTTTGTTCATCATCATCATTGTTTTGTTTCCTATACTGCACTATTCTCGAAGTTTATAACTTTTATTACGGTAGCCGGAAGAAAACTCTGCTCTATATATATTCTATATCTATATATATATTAATATATATATATATATATATATATCTATATATATATATATATATATAATATATATATATATTCTTATAGATAGTTATATATATATATATATATATACGGTGTGAGTGACGGTGACGCGCATGTCGCTGACGCCGGCGGCAAAATCAGCGCGAATGTCGATATATTATATATTGCTTTCACAATAAAAAAGAAAGAGCCGATCATAAAAGCTTTTTCTCCTCCAAGATACATAGCTATGCGTACAAGGCCATTCAAGAATTGTTGACAACGCCGACCATGGAACGAATGTCCGAAGCACGCAAGCGTGTAGGCGTGTTGCTGAAACCCTTGAGAAGTGCCAACGCCTGAGCAGTTGCCGTAAACGAGTGTACAAACGCTGTATATGGGTGATTAAGGAATGATGAGAGAATTTGCCGCGACCACTTCCCTCACGTGAATGTAGCGATGTTCACGTATCATCCAAAATGTTAGGCCTGAAGTCCACAAATCCACGGGATCGGGATAGATTGGGTAGAACCACTTTCGCGCTGGAAAGAAAACGCTGTTTCGCGTCTATTTTACGGTAACACACTTCAGCGCGGTTTGAACTCGACTAGTAGAGCATGAATTTACCCTTGACCTCCAGGCATACGCTTCAACTGAGAAGCGTTTTTATTGACTATCTGTCAAGCTCCTGCTGCGAGGTTTTTTTCTGTGTGGCTAAGAAACGCAAGGGGCTCATCTTCAAGACGAACTAACCAATATAGCAGTACTCGGTAAACTCAGCCGCTTGCATAATGTACGCCTGCGTGCCAAGGCATGATCGAACGTATTTTGTGTACCTATTTACAAAATACTTTTAAGGGTCTCAAACCATGTGGTACGTGGACTCCTTCGTCACGACGTGCACACATCCATGCATTTTCGTTCAAAATTTCTTTTGTATATCAGTATACTCATTACATGCACGCGCGAGACTGGCCTCAAGTATTTCTTCTTTTTTTTTTTGGGGGGGGGGGGCATTCGGTTACCATCTTTTCAACCATTTCCATGAAATGAAAACTTTATTTCAGAATCTGAATCCAGATTTTCAGACTTCCGCCTTTCTTGAGGGAATATCAATAAATTTCTCGAAACCCGACGCCGAGTTCACATATGAACAAATGACCCACATAAACGAACCAACTACAGAAATGAATGACACGTGTAATATATATATATATAATATATATATATATATATATATATATATATAATATATATATATATATATATACATCAGGATCCCGATGAAGACCAGACTCTAGGCCGAAACGTCGAAATAAACCACGTTGTGACCGCTCACGGAGGATCTACTTGACTATATGCAACGCTACGGCCACACTCAACCACCATGCCTGCATATTATAACCATGCCTGCATATATATATATATATATATATATATATATATATATATATATCTATATATATATATATAATATATATATATTATATATATATATCTTCACCATACCGGCTCTTCGGGACAGCCTAGTTTATAAAGACGAGAGTCCTTTCCGGGCTACATGAACGCAAATATTTGGGTCTGTCTTTCACACGAAACGATGCAGCCACCGATCCAAAATTTAAGCACTTGCTGAACGCCCAGTCATCTTCAACTGGCGGCTGCGTTCATACTTGGAAACACTGTCAATGAAACAAAGCACATATTACGCATGCTTGAGGCGTAACATCAATACGTTAGTATTAGGTGGTGTGTTACTTTACTGTATAATTCTAAACACCTTGTGTTTTCTGGGCTGCGCTTAAAATGCCACGCTATGCACGAAAGAAAGCGAGCAGAAAGCTATTGTCTAGCGGTGTTCACCGCGGAAATCGCAAATACGTCGCCCATTTTCTTGCTTCGCTGTATTAAGCGATGCTTTTCTTCAAAAACCTAACGGCAAAATTTTTGAGGGGGCTTGGCGTACATTGCATAGCGGAGGCCCGCTATCTGAGATAGGTTTGAGACCCCTGAAATAAGTTATTTGTTATCACTAATTGCATCGTAAAGGAAGCAAGTATGTACTGAGCTCCATAATTATACGACGGGTTCTAGTTCAAAGAGTCAGCAACTTAGTTCATGTGACAGTTTAGTTCACGTGACCGTGAAATACGGGCTCTGTTGCCCACGCCCAGGTCTTATGGGATGGTTCTTCACATCCGACGTGTTATTAGTAAAGTTCAGCTGTAGTTCGCGCTTGTTCTTGCGTTTCATCGTGTTGTCGTCTTTTTGTGTGCGCATTTACATGAAAGACAAATTCAAACGAACTGGCCAGCCCTAGGCGTTGCTGCGCTACTCGCGGTCAGCTATGCTGAGTAGCACGTCACAAACACATAAAGCCCAATCATTGCGTGCCGGTGGGCTGCGTTACCTCAGCCTGCACGTAGATGAAGAACAGGTTCGTCTGCAGTTCCTTGTTGATGGTGATGAAGCCAGAGTGCGCGGTGGCGTTCGCTCTGTTCTTGAAGATCTTTGCGAGGCTCACATCCCTGGCGAATCGAACGGCGTCCTTCTCAATCAAAGGCGTCAGAAAGAGGCCGGTTGCGCTGCTCCTTAGCGTTCTGGTAGGCCATCTTCTGAGGCTACAGAACCAAGAAGATGAATAAGGTGAACTAGTATGTACGAGTTCCGTTTGATGGATTTTTTTTGTTTTGTTTTGGAGCTAAAAAGGGCAACATATGAGTGATGACAGGAAAACCTCTGGTACTGTTGCATCTCGAGTGCTGGTCTTTTTTTGGCGGTATATAGTCAAATATTCTAAAGTTTACCTAGCGATAAGTTCTTAGACGTGTGAGTTTCAACTTGCAAGGATCTAATCAGACTCTTGTCGTTACTTATACGCGCCAAATAATATGTCTTTCTTTTTATTCACGTTGACAATCAATTTTATATACAAGAAACTTGCTGGTTGCGTGAGAAAGCAAGCACAGCCACACAAAAAAAAATGTGGTTAGTATTTGCGTGACGTTCGCGCTGTACTTGAAGCAAGAGAAGAGAGCTCATGGTTATACTTGTGCGTTTACGTTATGCTAGTCTTTTTGGTTTTGGTCAGTAAACTGGACGGAAAAAATGAGGCACGCTCGGAAATGCTCTTGCAACCCGAGAATGCACGAGATATTTATTTAATTATAAAGTCGGCCTGCACATCAACAAAATGCTAACGTTAGGCCTGAGCAATTTCGTTCTGCGTACTGGCGTAGCTAAGGGGTGCTTTGGGGAAGGGGTATAGCCAGGATGGGGGAGGAGTGAAATTTATGACTCATACACCCCTTCCCCCATCAACAAATGTTTCAGATATGCATGCATATATATGCATGCACACCTGCAAACGCACGTTTGAACATGCATAAAATAGAGCTGAACACCGACCCCCCCCCCTGACAAAAATAAAACAGGCCGTGCTTCGGTAGGGGATGAATCAAATCCCTGGCCCATTACGAATCTTAATTTCGCGTGTGTATATATACAAGTCATACAAACGTTAAACTTCTTGTTGGCTAGTTCAGGCATGTTACAAGTCCGTCCATGCGTCCGTCTGAGTGACCATCTGTGCGTCCTATCCGACCGTCCGTGCGTCCTGTTCGTGCGTCCACACGTTTATCTGTGCGTCCGTCCCTGCGTTCGTCCCTGCATCCGCCCCTGCGTCCGTCCATGCGTCCATCCTTTCGTGCAGCCATCCGTGCGTCCGTCCATGCATCTGTCTGTGTGTCCGTTCGTCCATCTATTCAACACTCCAGGTACTACCATCTCGCATCTTTTCATCATATATTCCCCATATAGAAGCACCGCCAATCCACGTGGACATTCCAAAGACTAAACGAGAGGTGGCACACGCACACTTTCTTACGGCTTGCGCTTCGTATCTACTTCCCACCTTTAACCTCCTCGAGCTCATGATATATGCTAGTTCACTGTATTTCAAGGCCATTGCGGTCCAACGCTCGCTAACCTTTCTAAAAGCAAGGAAGTTACGCGCAGCGAGTATAACGCAGCAACCCTTTCTTGTCAGATAGTGCTCAATGTACATGTCAACGGCTGCTAATGGGGAATTATAGACAGAAGAATTCGGCTTTTACTTTTCTTACGGCTTGCCCTTAGTATCCACTTCCCCACCTTTAACCCACCTCGAGTTTATGGTATCTACTAGTTCACTGTATTCATGGCACTGCGGCTCAACGCTCGCTAAACATTTCTAAACCAAGCAGGTTACGCCCAGCGAGTATAGCGTAGCAACCCTTTCTTGTCAGATAGTGCTCAATGTACATGCCAATGGCTGCTAATGGGGAATGAGAGACAGGAGAATTCGGCTTTTAGTTAACGCGCACGCAGCGAATTTTTATTGTTCAACAACGCACACGAGAAATCTCCCACCGGAACCACCTTGCAGGTTAAAACGTAAGACTGGTTACACACTACGACTACGACTGCGACTGCTACTAGGGACGAGCGTTAAGGAGCTTCGACCCTAAAATGTAACTGCATTATTTTTTTAGGGCCCTTTCCATACACGGCGTGCAGCGGCCCGCCCCCTACTCTGAGATAGGTTTTTTACTCCTGAATAAGTTATTTGTTATCGCTAATTGCATTGTAAAAGAAGCAAGTATGTACTGAGCTTATATATTTATACTACGGGCTCTAGTTCAAAGAGACAGCAATTCGTTTCTTGTTCAGGTAACAGTGTAGTTCATGTGAATGTGAAATACGGGCTCTGTTGCCCAAGCCCAGGTCTTATGGGATGGGTCTTTACATCTTACGTGTTATTAGTAAAGTTCAGCTGTAGTTCGCGCTGATCCTTGCGTCTTCTTCGTCTTGTCGCCGTTTTGTGTGCGCATTTACATGAAAAACAAATTCAAACGAATTGGCCAGCCCTGGGCGTTGCTGCGCTACTCGCGGTCAGCTTTGCTGAGTAGCACGTCACAAACACATAAAGCCCGATTATTGCGTGCCGGTGGGCTGCGTTACCTCAGCCTGCACGTAGATGAAGAACAGGTTCGTCTGCAGTTCCTTGTTGACGGTTATGAAGCCAGAGTGCGCGGTGGCTTTAGCTCTGTTCTTGAAGATCTTCGCGAGGCTCACATCCCTGGCGAATCGAACGGCGTCCTTCTCAATCAAAGGCGTCAGAAAGAGGCCGTGTGCGCCGCTCCTCAGCGTCCTGGAAGGCCGTCTTCTGAGGCTGAAGAAGTAAGATGATGAATAAGGTGAACTAGTATGTACGAGTTCCGTTTGATGGCTTTTTTGTTTTGTTTTGGAGCTAAAAAGGGCAACATATGAGTGATGACAGAAAAACCTCTGGTACTGTTGCATCTCGAGTGCTGGTCTTTTTTGGCGGTATAGTCGAATATTCAGAAATTTACCCAGCGATATATTCTTAGACGTGTGAGTTTCAACTTGCAAGGATCTAGTCAGACTGTTGTCGTTACTTGTACGCGCTAAATATTATGCCTTTCTTTTTATTCACGTTGACAAACAATTTATATACAAGAAACTTGCTAGTTGCGTGAGAAAGCAAGCACAGCCACACAAAAAAAATGTGGTTATTATTTGCGTGACGTTCGCGCTGTACCTGAAGCAAGAGAAGAGAGCTCATGGTTATATTTGTGTGTTTACGTTATGCTGGTCTTTTGGCTTTGGTCAGTAAACTGGACGGAAAAAATGAGGCACGCTTGAAAATGCTCTTGCAACCCGAGAATGCACGAGATATTTAATTTTAAAGTCGGCCTGCACATCAACAAAACGCTAACATTAGGCCTGAGCAAGTTCGTTCTGCGTACTGGCGTAGCTAAGGCGAGCTTTGGGGAAGTGGTATAGCCAGAATGGGGGGGGGGGGAGGGGAAAGAAATTTATGACTCATACGCCCCTTCCCCCCACCAACAAATGTTTCAGATATACATGCATATTGTCACGGGGTCGTGACGTGGCCAAAGACAGGAAGCTTCGTGTTGGCATTTAACTGTTTATTTGGGCGAACCTGTGCCCGGTAAAGGGAAAGTCTAATTACAGCAGCAGTCTTGCACCGATAGCAGTCTCGGACTGATAGCGGCGAACGCAGCGTCGGCCTTCGATCACCAACTGACAAGCGGCGAAGCGCGTCGGCATTTATACCCTTGCCGTCGAATGTTCTAGCGTTATCGCTGGCGGTGGCGTAGGTTCCAGAACAATCTGTACCGTTCGCACAGTGGGCGTGATCTTATCAAAATGATCTACTACAGTCCGGAACCTTCTCGAAACCTGAAGGCGTGGTTTGCGCCGAGAATCGTGTGGTGTTTCGGAACGATAACAAAAACTTGTGAAATGGAACGTGGCATTGGCCCCCTCTGAAAAAGGCATCGTCCCGATGCTTTAACTAAAGATGAAGGTACAATAGTAATGCAAGAAAGTACAACGAATAAATTACAATACAACAATAATACAAAAACACTGTTTCAGTTTGTTACGTGCATGAAACGGCTTGAGGCGTGCAACAGGGACGACTTCAGGTCGCGATCGGCGTTCGTTGAGATTTCGTGATGCCGTCGGGGACAACCTCGTAACTCAAGGGGCCGAGACGTCGAACACCTTGTACGGTCCGACGTACCGTCGCAGACGCTTTTCACTTAGTCCACGTCGACGTATCGGCGTCCACACCCGAAAACACGTTCACCGGGCGGTATTCCACGAAGCCGTCGTCGAAGGTTGTAACGGTGGCTGTCGGTAGTCTGTGATTCTTGATACGGAGACGCGCAAGTTGTCGGGTTCTCTTCGGCACGTTGAAGTACTCGCTCACATTGAGGTTTTCTTCGTCGGTGACGTGGGTAACATGGCATCGAGCGGTCGTTGTGACCGGCTCCTTCCGGTAGACCAATTTGTATGAGATATCTGCGTCGTCTTCCTGCACCGCGACCAGCGTTGTATGCGAAGGTCAAAGACGGAGACTGGCGTCCCACGTCTTGTGTCGACATCGACGTACATTGACATGCATGTCGGCGATCGTCTTTGTTAAGCCGCTCGGTGAGGCCGTTGGGTCTGTGGGTGGTACGCTGTCGTCCGGTGGTGGTTTGTTGTCGGCTGTATGCCAAGATCGCTTGAGTTAAGTCGGCAGTGAATGCCGTTCCTCTGGTCTGTGATAAGGACCTCCGGTGGCGCCGTGACGTAGGACGATATTTTCGACGAAGAACTTAGCTACCTCGGATGCACTGCCTTTTGGCAGGGCTTTTGTCCGGCGTAGCGGGTGAGGGTAGTCGGTAGCTGCCACGATCCACTTGTTTCCGAAAGCCGACGTTGGGAACGGCCCCCGTAGGTCCATACCAATCTGCTGGAAAGGTGGGCAAGGTGGATCAATTGGCTGCAGAAGTCCACGCTGGCCTTGTCGGCGGTGTCTTGCGTCGCTGACAGTCTCCGGCATGTCCTCACATAACGAGGACGTCGGTGGTAAGACGTGGCCAGTAGTACCTTCTTGTATCCTCGCGAGCGTGCGGGGAAACACTGAGGTGCCCCTGCCGTCGGATCGTCGTGCAGGGCCTGCAGGAGTTCTGGTCTTAGAGCTGAAGGCACAAACAAGGAGGTACTTAGCTCGAAGCGGGTGAAAAGTATTTCTTTTGTAGAAGACCGTTTTCGTAGAAAGAACGACGCAAGTGCGCGCTTGAATACCTTCGGTACTTCGGCGGTCCTGCCTCGAGGTATTCTATTAGGGCTGTAAGTTCCGGGTCGGCCCGCTGTCGTTCAGCGAAGTCGTCGGTAGTTTATCGTTCCCAAGAAGTAGTCGTCATCTCAAGTCGTCGGGTAGCGGTTGGTCGACAGGCGCACGAGAGAGACAGTCAGCGTCGGAGTGTTTTTTGCCGGACTTGTAAATGACAGTAATGTCATATTCTTGAAGTCTTAGGCTCCATCGTGCGAGGCGACCTGAAGGGTCCTTCAAGGTGGCTAGCCAACACAAGGCGTGATGGTCGCTCACAACTTTTGAAGGGCCTGCCGTAGAGTAGGGCGAAATTTTGACGTAGCCCAGATGATGGCGAGGCACTCATTTTCTGTTGTTGAATAATTTGCTTCTGCTTTGGATAGCGATCGGCTGGCGTAACTAATAACCCTTTCAAGTCCGTCAGCCCCCTGCACAAGAACGGCGCCAAGACCTACGCTGCTTGCGTCGGTATGTATTTCTGTCTCGGCGAATTCGTCGAAATGGGCAAGTAACGGAGGCGTCTGGAGGCGATGTTTAAGCTCCTGGAAAGCGTGTTCCTGTGGCGTTTCCCACTTGAACTCCGAGTCGGCCTTGGTAAGTTAGTGGAGGATCGGCGATGCGGGCGAAGTTTTTCACGAACCGCCTATAATAGGCGCACAGGCCCAGAAATCGACGCACGGCGTTCTTGTCATGGGCGGCGAGAAGTCGGCGATGACGGCTGTTTTCCGTGGATCGAAACGAACTCCAGACTTGCTGATAACGTGCCCCAGAAACAAGAGCTCCTGTTTGACCCCTCGCATGAGGAAACGAACTTTCTTTTCCTCAGGCATGTCTGGGTCAGCGTGACGGAATAGGCGGTTCCTCTCCTCTGTGAAAATTCCAACCTTTTCATTTGGTAGCTGAACCCGGGTCTCGAGTAGAGCAGCGGCCCTCTCTTTGCGAGCGACGCTTGCGAACGTTTGCAGAAATGCGCCGCAGAAGACATCCCACGTTCGTAGCGTGGACCTCCCGATTCTCTAGCCAGGTTCTTGCGGTGTCTTCCAGGTAGGAGTACACACGACGGAGCTTTTCTTCGTTGTCCCAGTGGTTGAGGGCTGGCACATGGTCGTATGTTTCTAGCAGGTTTCCGGGTCTTCAAACGATGAGCCATGGAACGTTGGTGGTTCCCTGGGTTGATGAATGACGATCGCGGGCTGGGACGCTTCAGGTTGTCATTGTCGCTGCTGTCGAGGTCATGGTCTTGGTCTTCCGCGCCCTTGTCTTGTAGAAGGCCGTACTCCGGTGGAGACCTTGCTGTCGGCGGCTCGTTCGCTGCTCTTGGTGGCGTCGGTGTCTTCTCCGCGACGGGGGCTGGGTTCACGGCTTGATGGGGGCCGTCCAGTACATGAACGAAGCAGCACCTCCACCACATGTCACGGGGTCGTGACGTGGCCAAAGACAGGAAAGCTTCGTTTTGGGATTTAACTGTTTATTTGGGCGAAAACCTGTGCCCAGTAAAGGGAAGTCTAATTACAGCAGCAGTCTTGCACAGATAGCAGTCTCGGACTGATAGCGGCGAACGCAGCGTCGGCCTTCGAGCAACAACTGACAAGCGGCGAAGCGCGTCGGCATTTATACTCTTGCCGTCGAATGTTCTAGCGTTATCGCTGAGCGGTGGCGTAGGTTCCAGAACAATCTGTACCGTTCGCACAGTGGGCGTGATCTTATCAAAATGATCTACTACAGTCCGGAACCTTCTCGAACCTGCAGGTGCGGTTTGCGCCGAGAATCGTGCTGGTGTTTCGGAACGATACAAAAACTTGTGAAATGGAACATGGCAATATATATGCATGCACACCTGCAAACGCACGTTTGAACATGCATAAAATAGAGCTGAACACCGACCCCCCCCCCTGACAAAAAATAAAAAAATCAGGCCGTGCTTCGGTAGGGGATGAATCAAATCCCTGGCCCATTACGAATCTTTAATTTCGCGTGTGTATATATACAAGTCATACAAACGTTAAACTTCTTGTTGGGCTAGTTCAGGCATGTTACAAGTCATTTCGCCTGTTTTGTTGCGGTGCTTCGCGCCGTCTATTTTTTATTTTTTTGCAGCCTATACAAACGCACTCTTGAATGTAAAGTACATTCGAACATACGCCCCTCCTCCTACCCGCGAAAAATGTTTCTGCATGTGCCACTGGTTCTGGGGTATCACGTTTCAGAACCACACAATCAGGTGCCGCGTCTTCAACGATATGTATCTCGGAGTGGATTTTAGCTAACCAATGTTCTTTACCGCGCACCTGACCCCAAGTAGAGGGGTATTACATTTGACCCGCATGAATATTTGGCTGTGCTGTACTTTAAATGCTAACCTACCACGGACGATTTATTTTGAATAGTTCAATGAAACGAGTGACAATGTGAGATATACCATTGGGCTAATATGCGGAAGTTTCAGTTCGAGTGAAAAGATTATGCTGTCAGTTCACTATGCACCTAAATAATTCATGCTCTCCATGTCCATGCTTGCTCGCATATGAAAGATCACAGTTTGCAAGTAGCAACTGTTCAGATACTGTGCTGCAACAGAGTATCTGATATGCTGCATAGATAAATAACGTCCTGTGTGAACACGTGAGTGAGACTCTCGAAGAGAAGTTACTACTCAATAACTAAAGCTGGACTGCCTTAACGAGGCCTGCATCCGTTATGCCAGCATTAGCTGATTTGAGCCCGTTTCAAACAATGTATCATGCCTTGACATTACGCTTCCACTTTCAATGAAGAGATGCGCTTGCGACCACGTGCTTGTTTTCTAACTGATAAAGTTATGCGGCACATGATAACTATGCGGAGCAGTGGTTTAATTGCAGGCCACGCGCTTTTAACGAGTAGTATTATAGTGTCTAATGGTGCCAACATGCATTCAGTAAACGATTATGGTGACGCTAATTTTTTCTACATCAAAATGACCGTACCTGTTATTCATTACTTTAAGTTTTCTTATAGTAAGAATGAACGAATCCATATTTCATTTGATAGATCGGTAAGCGGGACAAATAACTCACCCTAAAAATGAAGATCCCAACGGCACACATAGCAGCAGGCACAGTAACAGTGCCAGGAAAATTTTCGTTATCAGCCGCATATCTTCAGGTGTCTCGTCAAGAATCCGAAGTAGCTGAAACGGAAGTAAAAGACGACTAAACCTGTTGCAACAATGGGGAATGTTGAGCTAGTTGGTAAACGTTTGTTGTAAATCGGTCATAACATCACGTTCGCGTGAACCAAAATGCACTCATTCTTACCTATTAATTTCGTTCGCAGTATGCGTGGTCAGGACTACACAGCACCTGGCCATGCTCCACACGGGAGGCCAATCTTGAGCTTCAAGAAGCCCCCGATCACTCGAGGACTAGAACATCACGGTGAAAAATTTTGTAACGTACAGATGAGGTGATTACGCCGACGATGATGACGTCGATTATTTATGATGGCTCGTACCCACAGTAAGAGATCAGCCAAGAACGGGGCAATCAATGAAACAAATTGGGCAGACCCCGCGTATATATAGTTTGGGAATCGACGCATTCGTCTTGGTGTAGCGTACACCAGACGTTACGCACATATCATCGGTCGCACTGACACCGGTCCTAATTGTGAACACTGTGATGTGCCAGAAACACTAGAACACATATTTTGTGTCTGCCCAGCATACGCACGTGAACGACAAACACTGATTTCTTCTACTGAACTATATAGCAGTAGGTCATTAACTGATGAGACCATGTTGGGCCCTTGGCCAGACACCAACAGTGCAACTGCGGTCACAAGAGCAGTTATAACTTTTTTGGAAACAACTGGACTATGTGCGCGGCTAAGAAATGTGTCTCAACTAGAAAGAACACTACATACTCACCGCTCTATCTCACCATCGTCATTCATTAATCTTTCTTTTCCCCTTTCCCTTCCCCCAGTGTAGAGTAGCAGGCTAGAGCAAGCTATCGCTCAGGCCGACCTCTCTGCCTTTCTGTAAATAAACTTACCTCCTCCCTCACTACGATGTCATGCAAAGTGTGCGGATGGAATATGTGTTTAATTTTTTTTTATTTAACAATACGTTATGAAGTGGCGCAAATTATGTGTACAAATCCACGCTCACACGTTAAGCAGCGGCGCATGTTTTTATATTAGCATTTGTTTACAGTTGCGTAACGATGCCAACAGCAACATGGGTATTAGCAACACCAGAAGCAGCAAGCTTATATGAAACGCTCGTGTTTGGCGCTGGTGCGCGCGAGGATGCTAGCCCTAAACACTGCGACAGTATGCTTGGCCGTCCGGGACTATATTGATGAAACTAATAGGTTGACTAATTAACCAGTTTCATTATCCTAACATGTCCGCATAATTATATACGTATAAAATCAGATTATTGCTCTATTCTAAGAATAAATTTGTTTATGTAAATATTTGTATGCATTATATTATGCACCACACTTTCCTAGGCTATCGGTAATCTTTCTGTTATACCTCCATCATTCAAAATCTGAACAGTAAATTTTAAAACCACTCGATTCTTGGCAAGTCCCCCACAGTGGGTATGCGCCACTAACAATAGGAGAACAAAAACAACAACAACTGCTACACAAATCAAATCTAGCGGATGGCACCTAACTGTATACAATTTACGTTAACCCGACATGACGGCTGTATCATAGGCGTATAAAAATAATAGCTTAAGCTTGAAGAATGGCCTTTCTAGGTCGTTTTGTTACCTATTGCGTGTCAACTACTACGAGTAGTTAATTTGCATGGCAGTCACCGCGCCATAAATAGTCATAATTTTCGGGAAACGCTGTCTACGCCCTTATTTGTTATTCTGCGGAGAAGCGAGGTACCCACAATATATCTGTAAGGCATTACGTTCTCTTTTTTAATGTGGTGGCTGATGACGATGAAGAATTATTGCTGAGCACTTTCTTATGGGTTGAAAGCTTTGGAAGCTTTAGAGGACCGGCTTCTTGGCCAATCCGGGATCCCTTGGAGGGTAAGAGCCATAAGAGATAATCAAGCAAGCAAGCGAAAGACCTACTACTTACATAATCCTCCTCGTGTGAGGCCTTTGATGTTACTCTTCTATTATGCAATATTACACGTATGGTGACGTGATTCCTTCCTCGATATCGCCTTCATAGGGTCAATTTCCGAAATAATTCTGAGCGCCGACATGGCATTGTGGTATAATACTCGGTTGCCACGCCTGAAGTCAGTACTTGATTCTCATTTAGTCCTGGATATTTTTTTCTCATTTTGTTTTCTTTGTGCACGATAGTAGGTACGGGCACCGGCAATGAACAACTATGGAACCAAAAATTTGCCCCGTATCTACATGTTACACTGCAAATGTCGTAGAAAGACAATATTCTTGCGTCTGGAGAGAGTGAACAAAACGTTTATTCGATGATCTGCGCGACAAAATCGGCGAATGGTATTCTGGAGGCGCTGCGTTATGCTCGAGAGTGCAGCGGAGGCGAACGAGTGCATCAAGTCACGTCGCATGTGAAACATGAGTGCTATCTGGCAGTTACCTTGGAAAACGAAGCACGCGGTCTGTGCGCCCGTCTCGGAGGCGATAAGGTGTAGATCGCAAGGCGACGGGTACGTGCCATCACCGTGTAGTCTTAGCAAAGCGTTGGAAACGCTTGCCTTTTCGTGCAAGTGTTCTATAGTCAGCGCAGCATGATAAATGCTATGGTTTTAAGAATTACTTTTTTATGCCTTTTCAAAAGCCTCTGCTTGGACGAGTTGGTTTATGATTATTTAGGCAGATTTATCAGCGCAGAAAGACAGAACTTTAAGAGAAGAAACACACACACAGTGCTGTGTTTGTGTTTCTTCTTTTAAGATTTTGTATTTTATACGCTGATAAATCTGCCTTTTCTAGTTAAAAGACACACATACAGAATACTGACGTGTTATGGTGCCTCAGATATGCGCAATAGTTGCTTTTCAATTGACAGTCACACAAGCATGAACGCTAAATCTTGAACACTATTCGTGGGTGCTGGGGATGCAGTCGGCCGTTTGGAGTATCGTTTAGCGCCGTTTAGGGTATTATTATGGGCAGACAAACAGACAAACGTACAGGCACACAGACAAAAATTTTTGTGTTGAAGGTTTCCAAGAAAGACTATCGTCTTTAAAAATGGCTCTTGCAATTTTACTGTGTTCTGATAACCCAGCATCTTGAACGTAGGAAGTGATAACACACATCGCAATATTTAAGCCCATTGCGGTTCGCAAAAATTACAGACTGCATGTTTCTTGAGCCTGCATATTTTTTGATACCTCGTGTGTCAGCGAAACACGTCCGCTTAAACGCCACCGACCGTGCTTTGCATCGCTCCGCTGTTATTTCCGCGTGACTGCCAACTGCATATTGAGTCAGCTGCTCAGTGCCATGTCACCATCCTTATCGGCATGATACAGGTATTTCAAGCACAAGGATAGCTTTAAAGAATGCGGTTTCTGTCAGTGCAACTGGGCGGCACTCGATGTATTTGGACAACGCAGGTCACTACTTCGTCCACACCAATGTCCTTCGCACATACGCAGAAGCAATATCAAAGAAGGCCTATTTAAGAACACGTTTTATTTATTTCTTTAAAACCACACTTTCAGTGTTTTTATTTCATCCCGTGACACTCACCACATTTGCTAATAACGAAAATAATAACAGTGATAAGTGACAACACTAAGTGCGAACTGTTAACATAATCAACGGAAAGTGTCTACTAAAATGTTACAACCAGATGGTAATAAACATGTACATCTGGTTGCTTAAAAGATACGCAACATAAAAGTACTATTTACATCACCATCTCTCGATTGGTAGCTATGCTTTTGCTGCAAATACATAGGCCAGACACTGAGAAACCTAGAGTATATTCAGGACGGCACCATTCGGGCTCGCTTAAAACACTTCCTTCCTGAATGCAAAGTGATGCCTGTTGCAGTGGTCGTGCAGGATCTGACTGAGCGCCGGCGGTCCGCAATAGAACACGGTCACTTTTCCTTTCTTCTGTTCCTTGATGCCCTCGAAGACCTTCTCCCAATCGGGCCTGCCGGGCTGGGTGCGGCTCTTGAGTCCCGTTATGAGGCATCGCTTGTCCTTCTCGTGGAGGAGGTCCAGCGCCAGCTGGAGCCCCACGGCCTTCATGTCGGTGCGGCTGAGTGCAGAGGTGATGTATATGTGCACGTCCAGGAACCGTTCGAGCACGTCGCCCAGGAGGGCCTGCTCGGCCTCCAAGTCGCTCAGAAGTCGCACGAACCATTCCAGGGACTGCTGGCTCCGGTTGATCCAGATGAAGTCCACCTTGCGCAGCTTCATCACGCTGCTCGGCAGCTTCTCGACCCAACAGTGGTTGCACTGGGGACACGTGGACCGCGCCTGGTAGTACCTGGTTAAACGGTATAGATAAATTATTTCTTTATAGAAAGAGAAGACCAAAGGTCACTGATGAGGAGACTGCGGGAGGGAGAGGTGAGCACACACTAAATCACGTGATTTTTTGAGGAATAAAAACTTCATTAATGTAAAGGGAAGAAAGAAACAGGTGGGAAGACGGGATATTAGTCATTTCTCAGACCAGCTGGTTATACCATGCGCTCAGAAAAGATGGAGAGAAATGGAATAGGGAATAAACAGTACACAAATATTAAGAAATATAATCGAAAAGAAAATTTACAGCTTGCTCTAAATCGCGAACACTGTCTAAGCAGCGAAGCAGACTCCCCTCCTTCATCAGGCAATCGTACTCGTACTTCCATGTTTGTCAAGTCTTCCTTGGCACCAAGCTTCGGCCTCTCTCGCACCAACATCCCAGTTGGCTCGGCGAGGACTTGCCCGTTGCCGCGTCATCCCTCACTGGCCCTAACGTCGGGTGCCTCTTTCTCTGGGAGCCAGCTTGCTCATTATTATAGTTCACTGTAGCCATTACCAAAGAGCAAACTCGCCAACAAACAAACGCGCTCTTCCACTCTCCACCGAGACACTCACCCACTTGCTTCTCGAAAAACTGCTGAATCTTCCGCTGAGCTTCCCTCTCGTCTTTTTTAGCACATGTCTCATCGGTTCCCTCTTTCTGCAAGTCCTCACTACACTTTCTTGATCTTATGAAGTGTTAGTGAAATGTTTATTATGATTGCAATGGCGCCAGGTGGCCGCCGGTGCGTGCTAACGAACGCAATATTATCCACTATAGCATGGGACGCTACATATAAGTGCTGCGGTGAGTTGACTACGCTTCGCTTAAACTGCCAAATACGTGTTGTGAAGCTCCAAAGTCTGAGAAATTAAAAAAAACCAAGTGGTCTTTAAATAACAAGGGCACTGCTTCAGTGCTTTGCACCGCAATTTACTACCCACGCTGCGCAAAAAACAAAACTGAAGAAAAGATCTGTAGGCTGTTCGGTAGCTAACGCAATCGAATCCGAAGCCTGTACTTCCCATTATTCTCATGGGGGTGCACGATCGCTGCGCCTGATTGGTGTTGGTGTTTTATGATACAATGTCTCAAAGGCCACATGTTCACCGACCAACTTTGTAATTTACAAAGTGACGGAAGGACGGATGCATCGATGAATGGACGAACGGGCATATAAATGGACAGAGTACGGCCTGTTTTCAAACCGATTGCGCGCTATGAACGCAATATACACGGCATATGAAACGTGTTTAGGTCAGACGGGAGGCTACGACAACGACGGCGTCAACGGACATCGACTGGGCCTAAGAAGCTTCGCTCCGAAGTACAGCGTGCTTTTCCATAACCTCTGTTCGAGTGTCGCGTCAACCTAGAGTCGCAGATGTCCTGCGCATATGTCGGCAAAAAATGTAAAACTCGTTCAAACTCACGCAAGAAACACTATCTTGCGGTCAGGATTCACTCGGACTCACTCGGATTCAGACTCACGAAAATTTCTTCAACTGCACTCACTCGATCTCAAATTCACCAAAATAATACTCACCCTGACTGACTCAGCCTCAAACTCACGGCCCGATCTGAGTCTGAGCGAGTCCAATTGAATCGGTTCGTGATAGTTCTATGACCTCTCTTGCGTGAGGTTTCGCAGAAGTGATTGGTTTGAAGCCAAGAGACCTTCAGAGTTAGGGCCAATCAGACCATGTGTTCAAAAATAGAAAATTCGTATCCACACGTGTAGCATTTCTTCCCATGCTATTGCGGTGGTTCTAGAGCTGTCATACCCGTTATAGAAGAAGACATACCGGGTCTCCCAGAGCGTGAGCTCTTCAGGGCCTCAATAAAGTTTGTCGTGTCTTATATCAGCTACATGTAGCATGCCCATTTGCCGCGTTTATTTTGTAAGCTCGGTTTTTTTTTTCACGGTATCGAATTCGGCTGAACATTGACGTCAAAGTTTATCGGAACGTTCAAGTTATCTATAAGGGGCAAGGAAAACAAATACTTATAGTCAACTTTGACACCTTTAAACGAAAAAGAGCTCGAAGTCGCAAAATCTCAGAAGCGTTATTGAGTTAAAACGCCTTCTTAACATATACATGCAAGTATTGTGGGTTGTACTTGTATGTACAGCCGCGGCCACGTGTGGGTAGAGCGTGCGAAGAGCCGGTTTTCGCTCAGCGGGGCGAAACCTCGAGGCAGTTTCGGGATCTGATGTGGTCAGCCAGGCCACACATGCTTCTGATACAGCACTTCAGAGCCCGAAACTGCCTCGAGGTTTCGCCCCGCTGAGCGAAAACCGGCTCTTCGCACGCTCTACCCACACGTGGCCGCGGCTGTACATTTAGGAGCTAGTCCAGCAGCTTTTTAAGCTGGGGCGAGGTCGCGCGCCGTAACCTTAGTTCCAGAGGTGACCTCTACAGGCGCAGCTGTGCAATAGTTCGCATGCAGCAGTGCAGAAAGCATTTCCTGTGTACCTTGCAGCATTCCGCCGAGATATGCCTGCTGACATCACCTTGTCAACGGCCGCACGCCGTTGTTGCTTTATCTGTTCGATGACACCTTTCATGCAAGCCGAGAATTAAGGGTCCCCACCCTATAGGCGGGGACTCTTCGTACTTATACCTTGTTTTAAACAAACCTTAATTGGATAATGTGGGAACGGCTGCATATAGCAAATATATATTTTTCTCACGTAGAAGTATATCTCACGTAGAAGAGTTCTAGGCACTCTTGATTGTTGACCATTTGTCCGAAACACAGACAAAGCTTTCGTGACGCCAAGGGTGCACTATAAAGAGCATACCGCTACCACACACCCTTCTCCCTGGCAACCTAATAAAATTTTAAAAAGACCTCTTGCAAAAGGGCAGAACACGTGCCGTATAACTGTGCACACGATAGGCGTGTTAAATGTCTACCGTTCGGAAGGTGAGCGCTGTACGCACAACGTACTGTGGTAAGTTTAGTGAGAGATCTCTAATATCTAAAATTTACGACACCTTGACAGTTATATGTGCTTGTGTTAACATTGTGCTTGAGCGCGGTCAAAAACTCCCAGATTAATGAACACCCTACACAGTGGGCGTGAACGGCTTAAAAACAAGTCCCAGAAATAAGGAAAACACGAAGTGAAAATATGCTCATTGCCACTTTGCGTGCGCTGTATTTCGCTCGAGTACCGCATCTTCATCAGCGCCTACTGAAGATGCGACGACGCCACAACATGATCTAGTAGTATCGTAGTTTTCAAAATATTCAAAAGCTTTTCGTATCCACTTGTGTGGTGCACTACAGTTTCGTTGATTTCGATGCTGTACACTGAAATGCTACTCTCTAAATTCTTTGCTTTTTTATTAAGCTTCCTAAAAGACCTTACAGCGGTCCGTTATAGACCGTTTGAATATTGCAAGCGTTGTACCCCAAAGAACTTCCGTTCACCTCATTTACCAGCTGCGAATTTCGAAACTGAGAGCACGTTCTGAAGTTTTTTCAAGGGTATAAGGAAAAACTTTGTTTAGTTTTTCAGATAAAAGGAACGTGCGTTAAGTTCGAAGGAGGCTCATCTTTTTTTTATGTAGCTCGAAAGAACATTTATTTGAATATACTTTGCCAAATAAGGGAAGAAATGTGTAGAAAATGAGCGGGATATTTTCTAAAGCCCTTCCTGCCCACCTATGCTATTAAGGCACATCGGTGAACGAAAGAAGATGCGATTAAGGGTGTGTGTTTGCAAATAGTCCAAGGCTGGTGTCTGAAGCTCTGTCTGTGACTGTGCTGCGTGCTCAGCGCATATAGAGAGAGCTTTTTTTTTCTTTACTAGAATATCTGGAGTTTCGTGTGCTAGAAAATTAAGCATTTTTCGTACGTGAGGATCGACGTTATACGAAGCTTGCGAGGGAAGGGTAGCGTGTTGCAAATTTTTTTATTTAGTGACACGTCATGAAATGACGCTAAATATATGTACAGATGTTGCACGTAGAGACATATGTTGAAGAGTTGCAGATGTTTATATAACCAGTTCGCACTTGCGCAACGATGCCAAATGGAACACGCGTGTTAGCAACACCATAAGCTGACATGAAGCGCTGATGCTCACGAGAATGCTGGCCCTGGACACTTCTACATAAATTCATAAATCAACTTCACTGCATGGCACCTAACCCCAATAGACGTTAACCCGACGTGACAGCCAGTACTAAAGGTGTACATATGTATGTTATTAAAATTGGGTAAACAGCACTGCAACCACTATTGACGTTTCACGAAAGTTAGAGTCTATTTGAACGGTAGTTCCCAGATCTCACGTACCTTTGTGGTATAATGCTCGATTGCCACGCAGAATGCATGGGTTTGATTTATGCTGGAAACCCGAAATTTATTATTTGCATTCGTGAGAAGGGGGGGGGGGGTCAATGCTGCGATATCAAGTTTTTCTTAACACTGGATTCATTCTACGCCTTCGTTCGGTCGTCGCTTGTTGGATATTGCTTTACACTTAGGCGTCAAAATCACCCATGTGTGTTCTCGTCGTTCCTGGGTAGATACTAAGTCACCTGTAATCACCTGTGGCGCATATCCGCGGCACATACCCGCCCATGGGTATGATCCACTGTCAGGCGGGGAGTGTTTGACGATGCACGTGACAGGATTGTGACATTATTCATGTCTTGACCATGCGCGTCATATTCGTCAAACTATCGTACCCTCTCATGCAAATTTTGGTTCACGCAAAGTTAAAGGGGTGACCATGAGAGCACCAAATCGTAAGCGGATATATATATATATATATATATATATATATATATATATATATATATATATATATATATAATATATATATATATATTTGAGCTCAAACTCCCCGAAGTTCGCTAAGTAATGCTTCGCGTTTAAAACACATTACGAGGGACACCGTATATAGTGTAGGGCTGCGGAAACTTCCTTAATACATATAAATGGCTACGCTATACACTTTTGCTTCTCATCACCTTCACATCACTACTCTTCACACCTTGCCATGGTAGTCTAGTGGCTAAGGCACACGGCTGCTGACCTGCAGGTCGCGGGATCGAATCTCGGCTATGGTGGCTGGATCTTCGGTGGAGGCGAAACTGCTGTAGGCCCGTGTGCTCAGCTTTCCGGGCGCGTTAAAGAAACACAGGTGGTCGAAATTTCCGGAGCCCTCCGCTACGGCATCTCTCATAATCTATCGGGGTTTTGTGACGGTGAACCCCACATATTGATAACGTGCGCTGAGATAACACAGCACGCATGCCCCTGACGGGGCCTCCATCGAAAGGCTAACCACACGGCAGCAATCAAACCCATGACTTTTGGTTCAGCAGCCGGGCATCGCATATGGCAGCTGTAGCATCGATGTGGACTGGCATCTTTAGCGGTGTAAATAAGTTCACAAGTAAATGCAAACGAAACAAATAGTTCTACCAAACTTGATATTCGGCGGAACGATGTGTTGCTTGCGGCAACATCAAGGCGCAATTGATCGAGACACGAGAGGTTGGTAGCGCCCGTCGTATGCCTCGTTCTATGGTGAATGACTCGCTTTGCACTTTAAAAAAAAAGGCAGGAAACTTGTAAATGAAACTGGTACGCTGGCGAAAAGATACTTTCGAAGATAGATGGGGAGATAAAGAGAGAGGGGACCACGCGCGCTCCAACTTACACATCTAACTGTCAAGAGACCACTATTGGTACATATAACCGTCGCTGCTAGTCTGGAGTCTGGAAAGCGTGACAGGGCGTTACAAAACGAAAGCAGTGCACGCTTACCTGTACATGATGCTCTGAAGGATGCTCGCAAACGGCGTCACCCCGATGCCAGCGGCGACCAGGACGGCGTGCTGAGCTCGAAAGATGTGGCTCGAGGGCGACCCGTAAGGGCCGTCGATGCGCACCGTCAGCGGGTTCTTGGCGATGATGAGGCTCGTGTAGTCCGCGTAGCGAGCTCCGGTCTCGAGGCCCCTTTCGACGATGGCCTCCAGCTCATGGCCCGTCTCCAGAAAGGCGCAGCTGTCCCTCGGCTGCGTGCCCCGAGGCATGAGCACCACGCTCTCGGAGTCCCTCAGCCTGTTCTTGTCCAGGTAGGCACCCTCGAGTCCGTCGAGCGATCGCAACCGCAGATCAGTGGCGCTCACCTAAGGAACGCAAATGATTTAGCAGAGTGGTGACGTTGGGCAAGTTGGTGCATAGCTTAATAAATGATGGCTGTGCAAATTTTACTAGCAAGGAAAGAAGAAGACAGGATTGAGCGCCTATCCTGTCTCTTTCTTTTGTCCTTGCTGGTTTCACTTATGCCTCCATCATTTTATTAAGAAGGCAAATGAAACGATAGAAAAAAAATTGCAACATATCTATGGAGTGAATGACGATCAGGGGAGCGAAGATTCAGAGGGTTTAATCGGGCAAACCGTGAATCCGTGAATCCTCCGTTCGTCTATTTGTCTGTGAGTCAAAGAACTATGCGGTCACGTACCAAGAGAGACATGCATGCACAGACACGCGGCTTAGAGAGCTTCGCCCCTAAAGCGTGAGTACAACCAGATTCGGAATGCAGCAACAGAACAGTTAAAGATAAACGAAGTTTTGCAGTTTCTTACGCATGTGCCTAAGAAGGCACGAATGCCAAAACCACCCTATTTTTCATCAGTCGATTGATGACGTCACAAGGGGCCGTCATTCCATGACTGATTTTCTGGGTCCCTCGTGCTGATGGCAACCTTTTCTGCTTGACGAGGCAATTAGAGCTTTGACACTAAAAGAGTCTAGTCTCACAGTAGCAAGACTGGAAGGTACATCTTTTTTGCTTTTTTTTAGTGCGTGTTCTAGCGCAAATATGCTAGTGTGGTCATACGTTAGCGAAATGGTCAAGAAGCGAAGTGGTAGTTCTGCGCCGTTGCATAGAGGAGTCGTTAAAGTTTTCGCCAAAGCTACGTCCTTTGTCATAGGTTAAATATACACGTTCATGCTTTTCTCTTCATGCTGTTACTTAAAACAACGTTTTTTGCGCTTAAAATGCCGCTATATACGTAGAAATAAGCATTAATCACCAACGGACTGAGCATAGTACTAGTAATTTTGTGTTCCTGAAATATCTAGTCATCTGATTTCGAATGGAAGACAAGCTATTGTTATTAATGGCTGTAAAAACAATACAAGCACGCTATAATGCAGGGAGGAGCACCAGAGACAATTCTTCGCGTTATTGAGTACTTGCAAAAGGTGTGCACTCAACACCATTTCTTGAATGCGTGAGGCGATAGTAGAAAAAGCTGAATGCTGCTCAGGTGTGCCATAGTGCTGGTATCAGAATATATTGATCGTATGGAATGCGTGCACCTTCATGTCATTCCGTGGGCTCAGTTTGCCGAGATCATGGCAGCCATTGTAATATTTGCTCATATGCATCCACCACCGTGAGTAATCTGTGAACTGAGAAGCAAGCCAGGAAAACTATTCAAGTGTGGGAACTCCGCTAAACGCAAGCACCTAAAAGTCTTGCTTCTCAAGGCCTATGAGTCGGCGACAACACATTGACACACGCACACATGATTTGTCACGCCACTGCATGAGCACGCTCACGCAAACATCAGGCCACGCCACTGCATGAAGACGCTTGGCGTAAACACGACAGGACCTTCCACACGGTGGTATCAGCAGCGCCTACTTATCTATACCAATGGAGGGTCGGCACATGCGCTGTTTGTTTTCAGCGGAGTTATGTTGCTCACTCAGTGCGTTATCTGTCAGCGCATTCGACGAAGATGCGCTCGTATATGACGTGGAGTGCGTTATGATTAAATGCTCTCGCCGGTAACACTCTGTGCATGTGCCGAGCTTTGCGTTTGGTGTTGGTAGCCGTCGCTGATAACAGCATGCCACGCATGCTCCCTTGTTTACGCTAAGCGTGCTAACGGCTGTACGTGAGGACCAGTTATTAGGACAAGCTACAGTCACTCATGAACTCATTGCCAATTAGCTAATAAGTACAAATATGATTTTTGACGACCGGCTACTTTTCTTGTCGCTGCCGTTGTGTCAATGCTCTAATTTTTTTTATTTATTTTAGAGGCGGGGGTGACCCGAGTTTGTCCAGTTTGGAATGAAAGCCTTAACTTAGCTGACTGCTGTATTTTTCAATTTCGCAACGACGTTGGAATGTCATCCGGGAATGTGCACCAACCTAACTAGGCTCGCACTCTCGACGAGCAGAGCATTTTCTATTCTGTATTGGCAGTTCTGTCCTATCTCCTATCTATACGAAAATGTCAATTTATACAAGTTTTCTTTTTTTCGTCGCTGAAAGCGTGCCGGGATGAATCCTAGCAAAAGTTTTTGGTAGGCGCACTTGTAACAGTCACTCATGTGTTAGTACTTGTACAGAGGGCCTGTCCACCTCTAAATAGAGTAAATGTTTAAACAATAGACGAAAAAAGGAAGTAATTATTCGTTTACTCACCCTTCCGGAAGGTGGAAGCTGGGAGGCCTCACGCCTGAAGTTGTCGAAGTAGTGGTAAAGGTGGTTCGTCCAGCCACCGAAGGAGCGAATGTGAAGCCAGATGACGTCGTCCTTTTCGGGCGCGCTGCTGATTGTGAAAGGGTGCCACTCGAACCGCGCCAGACAGGGGATGTTGAGGTAGATGTAGTCACCGGGGTGGTAGTCGAAGTCGGGAGGCTTCTTCAACACTAGGTGAATCACCTTGGAGGGCAAGATGACGCCCTTGAGCACCGTTGTCATGCCGTACGAGCTGAAGAACCGGCAGGCCCGCGCCAGCATCTCCATTGTGAGCAGCAGACCAGGCACGAGAAACCACTTCCAAAAATTTGGCGCATGCAGGATGAGGAAGAACCAGAACACCGTGTAGAGGAGGTGCGTAAAGTAGAACACTTCGAAACGGCCGCTTCGGCGCAGGCAGGGCAGTGAACAGAAGACCATGATGGTGAGGACCACCAGAAGAACCCAGCCTGTGATGGACGCAGTGCCACCCACCCAGCCGATGTCGTGGTGCGTCGTGAACAGGTACAGTATCAGCATGTGGCAGTCGCGCTTGGAGAGGCGAATGAAGTTCAACAGGTGAGCTAAGGTGTGAAGGATGCTGTACACGAAGATGCACCATCCCGTCAGCTTATGATAGTATATGCTGCTGTCCAGCGGCAAGAACCTGCCAGCGCCGTGGCTTCGGAGCCAAGTGATGCAGTGCCTCAGTACCGGCAGTGCCGTGAACGCGCAGACGAAGTTCAGCAGCTGGCCGAATTCGCGGGCGACAAGTTCATACTCACTGTGAAGTCCCATCGTCGGAGCGGTGGGCATCCACTCGACTTCGGAGCCATCTTGCACGCTGAAAAAACCTTCGCTGGTGTGGTTCAAACCGGCCATCGCTCCCATCTGCCAGGTGAGTACTTGAAACCAGTAGCGGTCGATACTCTCTTTGAGGTCCCGGTGCTTCATCGATTCGGCTTCCATGCGGCTAAGGAAAACCGCGACTTGGAGCGCGAAGAAGCAAAAGCAAAATGCTGCGCTCACCGCGTTATTCCTGAGGTAGTTTCGCGTAAGCTTCTTGGGCCAATGCGACGCGAGTGTCGGCTTGTTGGAGCGGCGACCCGACGGTGGAAGAAGCCAACGCTCGACACTGACCGTCAGGTTTTCGTAAAGACCCGGCCTGCTCTGAAGCTGACACCGGAGTTCGTCTAGCGTCACGGAGCCCGTCTCGTCACGATCGGCGTCTTCGAAAAGGACGTTAGTCAATTCGTCCAGTTCATACTCGGTAAACTGCAGGCCGTTCTCTTCCATGCAAGCCCGCATGACGTCCCGCAGTTCCTGCGGTTGAATCAGACCATCACCGTCGACATCGTAAAGTTGGAACAGGATCGCCAGCTTGTCATCCTGCGACTTCTTGGCGAAGCGCTTGACGGCCGAGATGAACTCGTCCAGCGATATGGTGCCAGACTTGTCCGTGTCGAACAGTTGGAACATGCGTTCGGCGAAGAAGGCGTTGCGGGACTGTACGATCTGGCGGAACTGTTCTCTGTTCAATTCCTTGCCAGGCCCAACTGCCTCACGGAACACGCGTTCCAAGTGGTCCAGGTTCTCGAAGGTGAGACCAGTAGGCGACTCGGCTTCGGGCAGCCTGGCGATAATATCCATGTCGCGACCTTCGTACCAGTCGACTTAGCCGAAACAGAAGATCAGCTCTTGCACGGTAGCCGGGGAAAACGTCAGGGCAAACTGTAAACTACGCTTTGCGATACTACATCATCCAACTATTGACGCCGAACAAACCGCAACGCACCAGTGACACAGTGGAAAATCCTCAGCACTTCACTGCTGTAGCTTAAGAAAGCCTATGAGCACCGCCTTCAAGTTCGAAAATATGGCCAGTCCAGTGTCCTTTGCGGAAGCTGATATATAACTGGTTGCCTCACACGCAGCGGTCGATTCCTTTCACTGTACGTCACAGTGCGCCACCGATGTCTGGGTGCCTTTTGGAACACATAATTGACGACCCAGCTCACGGCCACGTTCGTCGCAAGTTGTATATCAACGAATTTTCCAACTCCCCTCATATGATAGTCCCAACCCCGTTGTTTCTTGTCTTCTTTTTTGTTTTGTACTTGTCGACACGTGTTGGCTGAAAGCCTCAGCTGGGAAGAGCCGCTCCGGCGCTGCTCTGTTGTCCGCACGTGACAATTATATACAAAGGAAGGGGTGGTTTGGGATTGTTTTTTTTTTTTGTTTTGACAACGCCTTCGCTTACTTATACAAGCACATGTTTCCGGTGTGCTGTGTGTGCACTGAAACGTTTCAAGCTTCTCTGTGATCTTGGTTCTAAACGGATGAAGGCAGTCGCTCCGATTATACCCAGCGCATATTGAGTAAATAACCCATAATTGTAATGATTTTACTGAGGTAACAGCATTCACTGCTAGCTGGACGCGTCCATTAACTATCGCTCGCGTATATTAAAAGCTGCTTTCTTAAGTCAACGCTACACGATTGAGAGCTGAGATACAGCTCTCAATCTCTGGGTGGCGCTGAGCTGTCTCTCAGCTCACCGCCACCCTAAGTGACCGCATTGCAAGGAACCCGTTCCTTCGAGCAAAAGGTAATTCTACCTGCTTCGTCAATACGTAGTGTACTTCAACCTTATTCAGGAGTTTGTAGTCAACACGGTGGAATGCCTGTTCTTGCTTTTTTTTTAATGAAGACTTGCCCTTGGGGCATGATGCTGATTCATGGTTCTTTACGTTCTTCTTGTCCGTGTATGATTTTCTAGCTGTGAATTTATATCGATTATTGCTGCTTAAATAAATGCCACGCTTAGGTAAAGTGATAAAAAGAGGAAAGTGAAGTTCCAAATAAAATCATACTTTATTCGTATGAATGTGCTTATATAACAAAAAACAAGCTTATTGTTATAACTTATTTCTAGCAATAACGTGCATTGGTTTTTTTAGTTCTTGTTTTATCGTTTTCACCCTTCCCGTATTCGTCTTCAGTTTATCATCCCAGTTAATAAAGTGTGACACTCAGCAGAGCATTGCTTTTTTTGCTTGTAGCTTTTTAATACAGTTCTTATAGTTGACACGCGTCATGGTTTCTTCTAGGATACGTCTTTTTCCTGATAATGCCAAAGATGGGATTATGGTTTCCGGCCATGGCGGCGTCAAGTTCATGTAAACTGAAAGCAAACTCCATCGTGGTAATCTAGTGGCTGACACGCAGGTCGCGGGATCGCATCCCGGTCGTGGCGGCTGCATTTTCAATGGAGGCGAAAATGCTGTAAACTCATGTTCTCAGATTGGGGTGCACGTTAAAGGGGGTGCACTCCACTACGGCGTCTGTCATAATCATATGGTGATATTGGGACGCTCAACCCGACATATCAATCAAACTGAAAGCAAGACATGCCACCACAGTCAAGGTTTCTTAATGAATCAGGTGATCCTAATAGCAGGGGGTCTTCGATTATGGTGTTCTTTATAATCGTAGAACCTGCAGGTGGTCGAAATTTCCGGAGTCATTCACTACTGCGTCTCTCGTAACCTCATGCTGGTTTTGGGACGTTAAACCCCACATATCAATCAATCCCTATCAAAATGTAGCGTTCTGCCACTTAGTACACATCAAATTTCGTTTTTATTTCTTATCGCGTGCACTGGTGAATAATGGGATTGCGCGGAAAATGTATGGTGCTGCTTTATCTGAACGCGTAGCGTGCAGTTATTCGCCGATAACTGTTTTGATAACTGTCGAAAGACGTGACAGGGCATTTTGCATAACCCTTTGCACACACTTGGCTGTTTGTGCGGCAATGGCGATGCGGGGTCGTCCGAGCCTAAGGAAGAAGAGCAAAAAAATGAAAATGATGAGAACCGGTAAATTTACGGCTGTAGAAGCACATCAGCTTGGCTGCCCGTGGCGTTCCAGAGAGCGAGTAAATTCGAAATTACACTAAGCCTGATGCTACTGAGCGTATCGTTTTGTGTGCAACGGTGCTAAGTGGTTTATGGAAGAGATTTGGTGGCGATGATAAAAACTCATGCTCGGCGGGCTGTGTCGGGTAGTGACCCAATGTGGCGGGTATGGTGATGCCACTGCGAAACGTCATAACTATTTCACCATTCTGAAATCTAACCTTGACCTACCCAATTTAACTGTCCGGAGGAAACTGGCGCGACTGCATTTTTTTCATAAGATATTTTTTCACAATCCATCAATGAAGCGAGACCTCATTTCACAACCGTCATACCACTCATCGCGCATTGATCATCAGCATAAGGTTGCCATTCCGTTTTGCCGCACCAAATTCTTTCAGCAGCCTTCTTACCGAAACAGCCGCCGATTGGAACCACCTTCCCTCTTCCGTTGTATCAATAACAGACCCTTTGTTATTCAAGACTGCAATTTCTCAGCAATGCTTGTAACTATACGCAGTTTCCATTATCTATCTTTGTCTTGTATGTGCTTGAATTCTTATACATTTTTAGTTGACTTATGTTGCCTTCCTGATTTGCGCATCTGATACTTGTTTCTTTATTTTGTCTTTTTTCTTGTGTGTTATATATGTTGTACCCACCCCCTCTGTAATGCCCTACGGGCCCTGAGGGTATTCTAATAAATAAATAAATAAATAAATTCTGCACTTGACTGTGGTTCGGTCTTTTAGTGTATTATCACTTAAGAAAACCTGTTGTTGGGCTGGCTGGTAATTCGTCATGCTGCAAGTAAATTTAGCGGAACTTCGAAGTTTCTTAAAGCACTCATACATCCACACACTCGTCCACTCAAGAAGCGCACACGAGGTTGGTTTGTCGTTTGTCTTTCTTAAGTGGAAGAATGTATGAGTGTTTCCAGGGAATGCCAAAGTTGTGCCAAATTTACTTACAATATGAAGTATTGCCTCTGTTGTCGCGATTTATCTCCAGGCGCAATAAGTTCAGTTAGTAGGCTATTTATCAGCTAGTTTAGTTTTAAGAACTGAAACAGGGTGAGTTTTTTTCTATAGATCACATAGCCTGTTTTTTTTTTTCACGGTTCTCATTGTTTCCGCGCTTCATGTTTGAGCACGAATCTGTTCATTTAGCTCAGTTGGCCACATTAGTGGGCAGTTCAAGAGGTATACCCATGAATATAGTAATGGTGTATCTGACTGATTGATATATTGGGTTTAACGTCCCAAAACCACGATATCATTTATGAGAGACGCCGTAGTGGAGGGCTCCGGAAATTTTGACCATCGGGGGTTATTTAACGTACCCCCAAATCTGAGCACACGGGCCTACTGCATTTCCGCCTACATCAAAAATGCAGCCGGAATTCGATCCCGTGACCTGCGGGTCAGCAGCCGAGTGCCTTATCCACTAGACCACCAAGGCGGCGCATTGGTGTATGTGAATGCAGGAACATGCAGATAAATGTTGTGTCGCGGTTTAAGAATGCTCATGGGATTAATCCAGCTGTCGGTAGTTGTGGGCGTCATATGTCAATAATTCGCCACATGGATGAAGGAGGCCGAGCGTACGGGCAAGTTGAGCTCTCCCGAATATCGCTTAAGACGTGCGCAATGTCAGAAAGGAAAACTTCGATTTCGGAGGTAAACTCAAAGCCAAGCGTTACGTTAGCGGTGTCGTTACTGATTACCGATAGGAGGTATGTTTGAAATTTTCAAACGGATATAGATAAGTGCACTTGTACGAGTACAGTGATGACTGAATAGCACAGTTCAGCATTTGACATGTGCAAAGCGTGAGTATACGTCATGTAGCTACTAATCTTCTCCATAAAAGTGACGCAGAGTCTGATTTAAAGGCACAAGCCGTATGTCATGCAACCTCAGCGGATATCACGCGAATAGTAGACGGTCAGAAGGGAGAACAAATATTTCGCATTCATTAGCCCCCAAGTTGACGAGCTTCAATGCGTAGGCAATGTGCAGACTATACTGTGGAAATGACGGGATGTGATAAATTGGCGGGAAAACTGGGCACGTTGATATCTTCTGACAGCGTTGCTTCAGCGAACGATAGCGCTAGAAGCGTTCTTCACACGAATAAATTATCGTCCAGTTGTCGTACGATACACGGCAATAGAAAACTAAAAGAACGAAACATGGGTAAAATGGTGGAAACTGGATAGCCCTGAAGGCAGTAGCATGTGTTATCGGTAAGTAAAGATTTGGTGTTCTACACAGAAAAGCGTGTGCGCATGATTATACATGCGCACGACTGAGTTGACGAGTGCTGTGAAGAACAATACGTCACAGCCGTTGCAGGTGCCCGATTTTCACGACGTCGACGAGGACATGAGCTCCAGCAGTACTGTTGTACAAGTCGCAACTTTGTCGTGCATGACATGAGTACGACACCTTATCATCAGAGTTCCTTGACGTGCATTGAAAGGACCGGATAAACTGAATTTAGCGTTTATTGTTCCGCTTTGCAAATTTATTGTGCAACTAAAACACCTCTATGTAATGCCCGAATGGGCTTTAGGGTATATATCAATGAAAAACCAAAAAATGACAAAAAATCTCTGCGACGGTTCTCATATGCAGCTTGTGTGTCATGGTTATGTTGCAGCAACTGTTCACCACGCGGAATATCTCACGACGAAAATGTTTGGGATCCGTAACGTCTGTATAGCTCGTGCACGCTGTCGTCTTTTGTGAAAAGGAATAGGTGAACACGTGGCCGGCACTCTGTGATGGCTGCCTACATGACCATTATCAACTGACAGCAAAAGAAAAGACGTTGGCTTTTGGCGTCATCTATTGGCAAACAAAACAACGAGTTTTGGCCGCTGGACAAGCGCTGCAAGATGCTGTAGGCAGCCGTTGTAGATAGCAGTTACCGCGATCGCATGTTCTCTTTCATAAAGAACGATAGTGTAGGTACGTAT